AAGTTCTGGTAGCTGCTACAACTTAGAAAAAGAAGTTGTTAGGCTGGGGATGTAGCTCAGTGGTAGCATGTAGAGGCCCTGGGTTTGATCACCAGTGCCACCAAAACAATAAAAACAAAGATAAGAAAAACAAAGAACCAGAAAAAGAATTTGTTAGGCAAACTTTGTTCTGGGGAGATGGAGCATTGACCCATACAGCATTCTAGTCCCACTGGTAAGACTAATTTGAAATAGATATACCAGGTCTCTGAATTAGTGTTATTAAGTATTTGAACTAAATGTTGGTGGTTTTAATAGTCTGACCCTCAGCCAGTTTGTCTGACTTTCATTCTTTCCCAAGGCTTTTTCACTTTGTCAGGAGAGACAAAGAGAACAGGTATCTAAGCCTTCAAGGTTGAAAGACATATCCTGTACACCTTGCCAGCTTCTCCCTAGAGTACACACCCCACATCTATGAACATACTTAATATTTTAATTTCCAAAGAAATATCTATGGGAGCCTTATAACTAATCAAAATTAAGTTTTAAGGCCAGTTTTCATTTCCATCAAATTATCCTTAATCTCAACAAATGCTCATGTTTCTAAGGGGGTTCTTTGTTGACACTTGACATAATTACTTACCTTCTTATATACAGAAGCCATGACGGTTGTCCGTACAGTCATTCCCAATATGAAGCACAATTGAAAATAATATTGAAGGCAGAAAGATTGGATAAGACTCACAGCAAACATGATAATCGCAAAGATATATCCAGCCCACTCATATGTGTCCGAGTTGCTTACAAAGGCAATGAGAACTCTGCCAGAGCAAAACCAAGTAAGTGATACTCATCAGGCCTCCAAGGCTTCTCACTCTACTCATGCTTGTTCAATAGCCCTACTCAAACTAAACGTAACAACCAGAATTGTCCAGTGCCTTAGGAAGACGCAAGCTTTACTAACTTGCTAGAGTTCTTTCTTTACTTGGAGATGGGCAGCAAGGGCCTAAGGTTAATATAGGGCTGTGAGACAGGAGAATCAAGAGTTGAATGCCAACCGAAGCTACCTAGAGGGACTCTGCCACCCCCAAAAAAGAATGGATGAATAGAGAAATGTTCACACATAGCTGCCATTGCCTTGCTTTGGGTCCTGTCATTGGGGTTGAGATGGATCAGTTCATTTTTAGACAGTGCAAGCCTATATCCAGCATGATGTTAAAAGGCTCTCTTGGTGGTAATTCATTCCAGAGGCAGAGGAAGGCTGTGGCTATGGAGAGATTAAGTTAGTTACCCTCGTGAGGAATGTAGCCCACTTCTTAGATGTGGCTCAGTTCATACTCTTTTTAACAAAGAAGTCTAATGAGTATGTGGCCTTGTATTAGGAGAGGGACCTCAAAAAGAGAGAGGGTAAATTTCATCTTAGATCTTGGAAACTGCCTTGTGCTCGTCACATACACAAAGCTGTAAGGTAGGAAAAAGGTAAAGCGTTTTCTAAAAATGGGAATTTAATAAAAGCTCTAGCCTACATATACAAAAGGCAAAAATAAGGGTGGTAGAGAAGGTCCTGAAAGGACAGCCAAAGGCGTGGGGACTCACTTAAGCAGCTGAGGATTCAGAAACAAGAGGATATCATGCACTAATTTCAGTATGAACGACTTCAGGAGCACCATGTAGAAAGTTTTGAAGAGGGCCTTGACCAACCAGGATTTGGGAAAGTCTTCCTTGGTTCCAGACTTCTTTTTCTTCTTCTTAGCTTCTTCCTGGGTACAAAACCAAAGGCAACAATGTCTGGAATTGTACAGTGTAAGACTGCTTCTGCTCTGAATGGCCCCAGAGTTTCAGCAGAGCCTATGAGCCCTGCTGCCCTCTTTGTAGTTTCAACCTTTTCTTCATCTCCTCACTGCTCTCTACCCTCCTGTTTTACTCCTCTCCTTCTAGCTCATATCATAATCTCTTTTGGACTGGAAAGGAGATAACTAGTGAGAATACCATGGAAAGACAAGCATGGAGATGTACAGCTGGAACCCCAGTACCCAGGATGCTAGGGCAGAAGAATTGTGAGTTTATGGCCAGCCTAGGCTACAGGCTACAAAGTAAGTTCAAGCCCAGCCTTTACTGCATTAGAGGACTCAAAATTCCAAAGTCCGAGGCTGAAGCTAAATAATAGAGTCCAAGGCCCTGTGTTGGATCCCAGCACAGGAAAATAAAAAAGTTAAAAGGAATACCATGTAAAAACAAAGAGCAGACTCTGAGAGGGGGTCTTGTGCAACCCCAAGAATGAAGGCTATGCTAATCTACATTTTGGAAGCTCAGAAGCTTTATTGTTTTTATTGTTCTTTCTTGTAGTTGTTGAGGCTGTTAATAGGTTGAATTTTGTTGAAGTCCTAACGTTTAGTATCTAAAAATATGTCCTTATTTAGAAATAGGATATGTGTCACATTTAGTCCCAGCACTCGGGAGGCAGAGGCAGGCGGATCTCTGTGAGTTCAAGGCCAGCCTGGTCTACACAGTGAGTTCCAGGCCAGCTGGGGCTACAGGGAGACCCTGTCTCAAAAAGACCAAAAAAAAAAAGAGAAAGAAATAGGATAAGAGTAATCAAATTGAAGTCTTTAGAGTGTAATCCAATATGACTGGTATCCTTTTAAGAAGAAATGAGACAGAAAGAAGGTGGCCATGTGGCCATGGAAACAGAATGGGATAGTGTACCTACAAGCCAAAAAATGCCCAGGATTTCTAGAATAAAACAGAAGTAAGAAAGGAAGAGAATCATTGTTCCCTACAGGTTTCAGGGGGAGAATGATCCTGCTGATACCTGATTTCAGATTTCTAGCTTACTAGGCTGACAGACGATCTCTTTCTCCCTTGCCCCCCCTTCCCTCCATCGTCTTTCTCTCTGTGTGTTTGTGGTGCTGGAAAGCAAACCCAGGGTCTCCTACATGTGAAGCACACACTCTATTACCATCTCCTCCTCTTCCCTTCCTCTCAGTATGGATCTCACCATGTTGCCCAGGTTGGTCTCAAACTCATGGGCTCAAACGATCTTCCTGCCTCAGCCTTCTCAGTAGTCATTGTGCTGCTTGTTTTATTTTCTTTGATAGTATTTATTACTTCAATATAGTATTGCTCGTTGCTTATTTTTCCATTTCCCTAAAGATGAGCATCTATCAGGCTCATTCCTTGTACCCAGTACCTCAAATGGTCTCAGCCACACAGCTGTGCTCAGTAAATATTTTTTGAACAAATTAATAAATTAGCTGCTAATGTTAATTTTCATCTCGGTGTAATGATATTATTTCTCTGTGTGTAAGCATGAGAGAAAGTGTGAGAGAAGTGAGCATACAGGCTTTTGTGTGCAGGAGGGTGCAGCTACAGGGGTGCCAGTGTGTATGGAGGTCACACACCTTTGGGTGTTGGTCCTGGCCTGTCTACCTTGTTTGAGATAGGGTCTCTTCTCTCCTGTGTAGGCCAGGCTAGCTGCCTGACAGTGTGTGCATATTCTTGTCTCCACCTTCCATTTCCTTAGACACACTGGGATTACAGATCCTTGTGCTATTGTGTCTGGCTTTTATGTGGGTTTTAGGGATCTGAACTCAGGCCATCAGGCTTATGAGACAAGTGCTTCTACCCACTGAGCCCACTGAGTATTATCCCAGGCCTAGTAATATTATAATTATTTTTTTACATTATGGAAAAATTTAAATATTCAAAAGGAGAAATAACAGTATATGATTACACCCATGCATCTACCACTAAGGCATTATTAGCATTGTGAATGCTACTACTAGTATAAAATGCAGTGAAAAGTATAAAGTGCTATAAAATATAAAATCAGAATCACAGTGACACTCTCTTCCTGAAATATAATGCATATTCACAAAGACACTTGGGGGGAAAAGTTACCAGGACAAGAACATCTTGACTTTGACTCTGGCTCTTGTTCAAACCATGTAGTGTGGCTTCTGGGTTCTGCTGGGCTTTCTTCTGCCGCCGTTTCTCAAGAGCACGCTTGGCTTTCTGCAGGTCTTTTGCCATGAAAACTTCAAATTTGCTCACTACTATCTCTGTTTTAAGCCCTTCATCAACATCCCAGATATCTTCTATTGTCAGTGGTTGCTTGTAACCTTTCAGAACAACGCTGGAACAAGAATGACCCACAGGCTGAGATCATTTGTGTGGTGCCAGAGACTACCTCTATCAAAACCTGTCTCCTAGATCTAAGGTAGAGAGATGCAGTTTTGGACTTTTTCATTGTTCCACTGTTCCTATCTCCTGGCCCTTTCATCTGACTGAGGAGTTGGGAGAGCTTGGAGACAACAGAGCAGGCTAGAAGAAAATCAGAAAAGGAGAAGGGGAATGCCTCCACCAAATTAAAAGTCAAAGGGATCGCCTCCCCTTGCTCTTACTCCTTCCTTTTCAACACAGACTGCCCTCTACACTCTGGCATCTCCTTGAGGAATCTCCATGACACCCTTAGGAAATGGACCAGATCTTAGGCCTGTCTCTATACTATCTCTGTAGATCAGACCTCTCCAACTTAAGACTTGACAGCACAGATGGAAAATGAATTGCATCTTTATTTGTAATAACTCTTAACTGAAATATAGCATTTCTTCCTAATGTGAGCATAATATGATGTCTTTGTTATCAGGATAAATTACAAATATTTTCATGGCTAACTTATGCTCATTGATACTTTCCATTTATTTATTTATTTATTTATTTATTTAATTTTTGTCTTTTTGAGACAGGATCTCCTTGTAGCTCCAGCTGGCCTGGAACTCACTATGTAGACCAGGCTGACTTCAAACTCAGACATCTGCCTGCCTCTGCCTCCCAGTTGCTGGGATTAAAGCGATGCGCCACCATGCTCAGCCATTGCTACTTTCAAATTATGATCATTATGAGAGTCACCACTAGATTTTTAAATTTAATGAACTGATTTTAAAATGCATATATTACTATATCACAAATTTGCTTTTAAAATATTTTGATAACTATATTTTAAATGTTTTACTTTCTTTATAGTCTGTGTTTTTAATATATATATAAAGCATTATCTGAAAAAGTATTTAAAAGCTTCACCAGCTGCAAAAGGGTCCACAAAACAAAGGCCAAGGATTCCTGTTCCAGATCTTCTGACAGCCCAGGTGGCTGTTTCCTCCCCGCCAAGCCTGTGCCACACTGCCTGTCTCCACATTTCCTCTTTCTTGTCTAGCTGTCTCCTTCCTTTTCTCCCATGTAGCTCCCAGACTACAAAGAATGATTACCTTCCATCTTCTCCTTATCATCCTAATCTGTCCATGAAGGGACTGAATTGAACTGACCTATAAGTTTTAACACTCTCAAACTCTAAAAAGAAGGGAAATGGAGGCCACAGAAGGCATGTTTTAAAAATTAAGCTTTTCTTCACTTTCAGAGAAGTGAGCAGGTAGGAAAACTCATAATCCAGGCACTTCCTACCTGTCATACCAACTATAGGTAATGCTACTCAGAAATGAAGCCGTGGATGATGGATTCTGAAAAATAAAAAATTGAAAGATAAATCATTTGGAAATAGGAACCCTACTGGATGCTAAAGAAGCTGATTCTTCTAGACATGATACTAGAAACTGATGTGATGCTGAAGTTGGTGCTCAACATGTTTCTTTGGTGGCTCTAAAGTCACTAATAGAATGATAATCAGATTTTCTGGCATAGATCTAGGAATTAACTGCCAACGCGGAATGTTTACAGATGAACATGAAAGTAAATGTTCCAGTGTGCTCATTCTGTTTCTTTCTATGTAAAATGTTCTAAACTACAAGTTGACTATCCCTCATCTGAAATGCTTGGGACCAGAAGTGATTCAGATTTTGAAGTTTTTCAAATTTTGCAATATTGCATAGGCTTTTTGAAAGTTTCAGCTTTGGAGAATTTTGGATATCAGAGTTTTGGATCAGTGATATTCAATATGTGCCTTTTTATGGGCTCATGGGACCTCCATGAAGGCTAGACATCTCAAAGTCATATCTGTTAAGCTATGCTCCCACTAAGTGCTATATGAAATGGGCAAATTTAGAGTCTCACATTTGATGAGCCACTTCTTTCTGAAAAGGCTGAAAGGATCAGGATGAGGATCTGGAATCCATAAGAGATGAAGAACAGACAGGAATAGGCCAGATTAGACTTGCTGTCCTGTGGTGGGGGAGAGGGAGAGAGAGAAGAAAAAGAGCATTTTATCCAAGTCTAAACAACCCATGCCATACCAGTGATTAAAGACTATTATCAAACCCTCTGGTATAATTCTATCCTGAAGTCAAATTCCTTGACTGGAAGCCAACTAACTGATTTAGAAGCTGCCTAGCAATGCTCTTAACATCACCTTCTCTTCTTACCTGTAGGAGTGCCCGAATCAGAGTCTGAAACTGGAAAGTGCCACAGAGTATTGAGAGAATCCAGAATAGAGTCAGGAACCAAGAGTTCTTCTGCAGACACCATTGCCTGCTGTGCTGGATCACCAAAACCAGGAGCTAGAGAGAAATTTACAAGAAATTCTGAAGAATAACCATGGATAGGAGGGAAGAAGGATATCAGAAAGAAGAAGTGGAGAAGGGATTGTTGAAACTAATCTGGCCAGGCAGGGAGTACATGAATGTCAAATTTACATTTCTTCCCTGATCCTAACTCTTTCTTCTAGCACTTCATCTTTACACTTAGATGAGAAGTTAGCCAAAAAAAGTAAAGGGTTACTATCACATTTTAGTGGAGTTACTTTAAGAATTATGAAAACCTTTTTAGGACCCAAGGAAGTTAATGTCAGGCTGTGGTCAGGATGAGGAGGCAGACTCTTATGCATAGGTTCTAGTTGACTGTATCTTGACACTATAATATTGGACTAAGAAACTAGTTTTTAAACCCCAACCTTGCCTGAGATCAACTCACTACATATGTAGGTTCCTAGTCCTAGTGCTGTGCTAGAAAACCAGTATTCTAAAAGTAGAAAAGTCATGATTTATAGAATTTGCCAATATTCATGGTATAAATAGTCCTGCTATGGCAGATTTCAATTTCTAATATGATGTCACTGAATAAGGAATTGGGATAATATACACCAAGACAATTCAGTGTTGGTCATCTATGGTACATCTCTTTCTGAACCTTTCTCTTTTTTTTTGTTCTGTAGCAGTGGTAGCAAGCAAAAGTTCCTAGAAAGGTCTTCCAAATCATGTTACTGAATGAAGGCAGGGCAAGGGGTGTCCAAGGTTGTGTTGAAAACACAAAAAACAGAAAAATCAGAGGTTTTCATTTTTCAGGAGTTTATAAATTGAAATAGCTTTGTGTCAGCTTCCTCTTTTAAAATGATAGCAACTATTCAATAATGTTTTTGCCCCCTTCCAAAACAAAAGATGCCTACAAGACAGTACATTGATTTCTTTTTTTATCTTCCTCTTTCTCCTCCTCCTTCTCCCCCCGCCCCTTGAGCTAAGCTGAAGTAGAACTCATCCTTCTGGGATCACAAGTGTGCACATCTGATATCAGTTTCTGATATCAAACATACAGAACTCTATATGGTTCCATATATTAACCATCAGTCAATTTAAAATAATATTTACAAAATTTAAAAAATATTTTACATCATGAAACTTAGGTCTCATCTGTGGTGCTTAGATGGCAAGATGAGGGAGGAAGATTAGAGACAGTTCTATAAATTAGAATTCAAAATGAGAAGAAAAGTAAACATTTGTTTTACCTCTTTACAATCAAGCTATATTTAAGACCTTATAAAAGACATTAAATTGGCCCCCGTTTAATCCCCAAAGAGTACATTTTAGCTGTCTATGGGTTGAGAGGAGGTAAATAAGTTGGAATTGTTATTGGTCCTTACCCATGTGCATAGGTAGAGGATTGGATTAGTGTATCTAATAGGAGGTATTGTGGCTTGTCCAGTGTCTTCTGTGAGTGCAAGGGACAAGTCTATGGCTGCTAAAATAAGAAGAAACCCAACGAGCACCTGAGAAGAGAAAAGACCACTGTTAGGGCATGCGTTGTCTTAAGGCTTTTCAAACAGAATGGTTTGCAGCAATGGCCATGGAAATGATATATAGTAAGTCAAATAGTGTATTTAATAAACATTTCTAAAGTACCTTGTTACAAATAATTCAGTAACAATAAAATTCAAAGTATGCCATAATAACTGTCATCCCAGCACATGCGAGGCTAAGGAAAAAGAATCATGAGTTCAAAACCAGCTGGGGCTTCATAGTGAGAACTTATCTAAAATAAATATACCATGATTAATATTTTTGAGGAATGCTAAGTGTGATGGTTTGGGTTTTGTTTGTTTGTTTGTTTGTTTGGTCTTTTTGAGACAGGGTCTCTCTGTAGCCCCAACTGGCCTGGAGCTCACTATGTAGATCAGGCTGGACTTGAACTCACAGAGATCCTCCTGAGTGCTGGGATTAAAGGAGTACGCCCCCATGCCTGGCCCAAGTATGATGGTTTTAACAGTGTGCCCACAATTTTTTTGATACCTCCTTCACAACATAGAGCTGGATGTAATAACTTAAGTCTAATGAATAGAAAATAGTAAAGTAGTAGTATGTGACTTCTAAGACAAGATCATAAAGAACAACACAACTGCTTTCTCTTTCAAATCAATCACTCTGAAGGAACCTACCAGACCTGTCATGAAGACAATCAAATTGCTCTAGGAAAAGGTCTATATAGTTAGGGAATGAGACCTCTTGATAATAACCAGTGAGAAACTGAGCCCTTTTGCCAACAGTCACATGGATGAATCATCTTAGAAGTAGATCCTCTGGCCAAGATCCTCATGGTAGACCTTGAAGCAGAGCTCAAGTCAACAAGCTCCTAAATTCCTGATCCACAGAAACTATATGGTAAAAAAAAATTTTATTCTCGAGAGGAATAATTAAACCTAAAATAATTAAAAAGAAAACCATCTATGTTAAAAGAATAAAAGGGGCGTGGGGGAGATAGCTCAGTCAGTAAGTTCTTGCTGCACAAGCATAAGAACCCAAGTTTGACAGGCATGGTGAAGCATGCTTGTAATCCCAGCACTGGGGAGGAAGATAGGAGATCACTGAAGCTCATTAGCCAGCCAGCCTAGCCTAATCAGCAACCCCCAGGTCTTAGTGAGAGACTCCATCTCAAAGAAACAAGGTGGATGGCTCAAGGAATGATACTTGAGGTTGACCTCTGGCCTCCACATGAATGCACACACATCTTCACATGCACCTATGCACATATGAATACACATATACACTTGTATACACACACACACACACATACACACAAAGCTTATTCTTTAAGTTGCTAAATTTGAAGGTAACTTATTGCAGAACAGAAAGTTATATGCTACGTTTAAAAGGAGAATCTAAGTCTGGTAAATGCCTGTAATCCCAGCACTCAGGAGTTGAAGAAAGGGGATTGCCATCAGTTTCAGAACAGCCTGGGTTACATATTGAGTACCAGATCTGTTAAACCAAAGAATCCCATATTAACTGGTAGGTATTCTTCCCTTTCTTTCGTTGTAAGCCATTGCCTTTTAAAAAAGTTTTATTTATCGATTTTTATTTTATGTGTATAAATGTTTTGTCTGCATGTATTTAAGTGCATCACTTGTGTGCAATGCCCATGGAGGCCAGAAGAGGGCATAGAATTTCCTGGAACTGGAGAGAGTTACTGATGGTATTAGCTGCCATGTGGATGCTGGGAATCAAACCCAGATCAAAGAACAGCCAATGTTCTTAACCCCTGAGCTATCTCACCAGCCTCTGGGGCACAGTTTTGACCCCACATAAACTTTAAAGTTAACATTGCAAACAACTGTGACTATTTAATCTCAGAAGATCTCAAGCTAAAAAACTTTATTTTCTTATGACTCCTAAAACATGGTCCCACATTATACTAAAGACCCATTGACCACCCATCAGGAGAGCAAATTACTGCCTCATTTTAGAAAGCATACCAGTAGCCAAGTGTGGTGGTACATGCCTTCAATCCCAGTGCTTGGGAGGCAGAGGCAGACAGATCTCTGTGACTTCAAGTCTAGTTTGGTCTACATAGTGAGATCATTGCACCTTTAACAGCACTAGTGTTATTATTTTGGATCAAAGACATGTTAATAACAGGAATGTATTTTACTCAAGCCTGTAATATATTAAATTATCATGCTTCATAGGAAACTAGGAGTGAAAACTGTATTTGCTTTTAGCCAATGAGGAAGTAAAAGACAACAAGCCAGAGATAAATCACCTACCCTTGGGAGAATATTAACAAGAAGACCATGGAAAAGGCTTTGCCACATGTCTACATATATTAAAGTGAAAGAAATTTTAGAAGAACACTGAGCAGCATTGAAAGGAGAGATTAGCACTCCCTTTGACAGAATGGAAGAGGCCTTTGGACATGAAAACATGCATGTAAGTAGGACCTTGTCACCTACTTCATGATATCTAATCACTGTTTGAATAATATACAGTGAGTTCCTCAAACATGTCATAAAACTCCATTATCATTGAATCCTATCAAAAAACTTAGTGTAAAGCCATGTGTGGTAGCACACACCTTTAGTCTCAGCACTCAGGAAGCAGAGGTAGGTGGATCTCTGTGAGTTCAAGGCCAACCTGGTTTACATAGCAAGTTCCAGACCAGCCAGGACTACAGGGAAACCCTGTCTCAAAAAGCAAAAAAAAAAAAAACCTTAAATAAAAATAACAAACAAACAAACAAACAAACAAAAACAAAACTTAGTGTAACAACTGACCTGCATTTGTACATGGTCTCCCTGGACTGTTTACTTTCAAAAAATTCTAGAGAAAAAAATAGCACTTAAGGTCTTATCTCTTAAAAGAACTTGTGGAATTTGTTTTCTGTATTTGAATATAAATGTGAAAAGAGAAAAAACATAGCACTTAAGGTCTTATGTCTTAAAAGAACTTGTGGAATTTGTTTTCTGTATTTGAATATAAATGTGAAAATTAGTATCTAGAAATGTCCTCAAAAAGTGGAAAGATATTTAAAGTCAATGATAAAATCAGGCATAATACTGAGTGCCCCAAAAGTTTATTAATAGCAGTAATAGTTATGTATATAAGCAATGCATACATTATCACATATGGCCCAATATCATGTATTTTGCTGCTTGTATACATTTTTAGATTGCATAAATGAGATGTGCTACTTCTTGACTTAGGTAAGAAGTACTTAATCTGCTAGTTCTACTTCTCCATTATTTTTGTGTCTTCTTAAAAGTATAATATACAGCAAGACTTTAAAAAGTATTTTACTTATTATTTTTAGTATATTAGTGTATTGTTTGCATGTATGTAAGTGTACCCATGTTGGGCAATGACTGCAGAGGTCAGAAGAGGTCATTGGATCCTCTGGAACTGTAGTTATGAATGGTTATTAGCTGCCATGTGGGTGCTAGGAATCAAACCCAGGTCCTCTGCAAGAGCAGCTAGTGTAACCACTGAGCGATCGCTCCAGCCCCTAGACTTACACTGAAAAATTAATATTGGAAAGGGTCAAGTTACTTTCAAAACTACAAAGAAAAAAAATGACACCAAATGCTAACAACTCAATTTTTAAAATAAGAACGAAATAAAAAGAGATTTAAAGAAAAAAACATAAATGGCCTTTTGTTTTTGCTCTGGGTTTTTTGTTTGTTTGTTTGTTTGTTTGTTTGAAACAAGATCTTTTTATGTACCCTAGGCTTTCTCCCATTTGCTACTCTGTGCCTCGGCCTCCCAAGTGTCCAGATTATAGGCACACACCACTACAAATGGCTTTTAAACATATGAAAATTTGCTTAACTTCACTAAAAATGTGAGTTCAATTTGAAAGTATGATGACATACAATTTTTACCTGGTTACCAAACATCAAAAAGTTTGATAACAAGCCTCAGGTGTAGATTAGTAGTAGAGTACATTCTTAGCATGCCTGAGTTAAATCCAACACCACAGTCACAAAATTGATAGTGAAAACTGATGAGAATAAAGAGAAACCTTCATAGAGGGCAATTTGTACTATTTATAAAAATTTTGAGTCCACGTAGCCTTATCTCAGTAATTTCACTTCCATGAATTTACCCTGTAGACATACATGCACACAAGGTACTGCTTTATGCACCATTACTCAAGATGACAGAAATGTAAAAATCATGTAAATGCTCACATAGGGAATGTAAACTGTGGTATATTCAAACCGTAGCATCTTAAGTGGTCACTGAAAAGAAAGAAGCAAAATTTTGTGCTGCAATGGAAGGATCTCAAAGACACAGAACAGTTACATGAAGAAATACGTGTAAGTAGGTGTTCATAAATTGTAGTTGATCTCTGGAAGAGAAGGTACTAATGTTAGAGAATGCCGGCAAAGACAGGAATGAGTAGAGTACTGTGTATGCTTTGTACCTTTCAGTCCTATAACCCCTGAGAATCATCTATTCAAAAGATAAAAAGATGAATATAATCATGTTATGAAATGAGCAAATGATATGAATAGAATTCTTAAACGAACAAATGTATTTAACAAATTTAAAAACTCAATTGAGTTATATAACTCATGGAAATGCGAAGTAAAGCAATGAGCTGCCATTCTGCATATAAAATTGGCAAAGATGGTAGTACAATACATCATGGTTACATGTACTTTAGTACAATTTGTAACAATGTAAGCTAACAATGTAACCTTCCTAGATGGTAAAAATCTTTCCATCATGTTTAGAGTCTTAACTTGCTCAGATACTTTAGTACAGTAATTCTATTTCCAAGAAGTAATTCTACTTCTGAGGAAATACTCTGAATTTCAAGTAAATGTTTGCATGTAGAAGAATGTTAATTGTGGGCTGGAAAGATGGCTCAGCAGGTAAAGACTCTTACCAACAAAACTAACAACCTGAGTTGATACCTGGAACCCACATGGTGGAGAGAACCGACTCCCACATATTGTCCTCTAACCTCTACCAATGCTGAGGGGTTCACGTGCATGTGTAGGCACACATGTGTAGGCACAAATGTCATAAAAAAAGAATGTCAATTGTCAGAATCTCATATTTTTTGTTAGGAGAGAGAGAGCCCACAATGTATGTACCTGTATACATTCATGTGTGTGAATGCAGGCACATACATGCCACTGTTCACATGAGGTTAGTTGACAACTTCAAGTGTCAGTCATCACCTTCCCCTTTGAGAAAAGATTCCATTGTGTACACTAGGCTAGCTGGCTCATGAGAGACTCCTTCCTGGGATTTTCCTATCCTAGCTCCCCCACAGGAACCCTGGGATGACAGATACTATGTGTCTTGTTTTTATGTGGGTTCTGGAGAGTCAAATCAGGTCCTCATGCTTGCTTGGCAAGTGCTTTTACCCAGTGAGCCATCTCCACAGCCCAGTAGAGAAGAATTTTAAAGACCTGAAATAACCCAACAGTAATGAAGGAGTTTTTAGGAGGAGTTAATGTGGCAAGAGTTGTTAAATTAGCTATGGGCTATTATACTGAAGTGATGAATCATTAATAGTTGCTAAAATCATGCTTAGGAATTATTACACTGATAAATACTTTTTAGGTCTTTTTGAGATAGGGTCTCCCTGTAGCCCCAGCTGTCCTGGAACTCAC